ATTTGTTGTCATTTTGAGAAAATGCGGCACTCTTTGTTTGAATGAATCTTTTTACACAAATTTTGGAGTAATGTATTGAAATAAGTATTCTACAAGATGTTTGCGATCCATTCTTCAGTATTCACTAAAAAACAGCCATCCTTCGGGGCAATTTCTTAGATTTTTTCAAGCATCTCTCCGAAGACCCGTACTTTTAAGGCAAATTGAGGCGTTCGTCACCTCTGGCGTTTGTGACCACATACATGTCAATAGTGACTCTGTATATAGCCTCAGATGGTAGTGGAGGGACCAAAGAATACCTCCAAGTGTTCAGTTTTGGATTCGCTGATGGATTTATCAAACAAAAATTGACCTAATTAGCATGGTTGAAATTGATTTTTCGCACACAAAGAGAAATGCTGGAGATTGATTCATTTCAAGTGCTATAATTTCTGACTCAGTGGACGGATATGGCTCAAATTTCGTATGTATGCCTTGAAAGGATGGTACTTTCCAGAAACATAATGGATTTTGTTATGGTAGCGCCCTTTCTTAGAAACGATACGAACTTTTCAGCCCGCCTGTTAATGACAGTAAATCTGTAATTTATGGCGTTTACTAACTTTTCGAAGTGGGAACGTATAGGTAGCCGTTGAGGCAATATGAGGAAAATATTGGCAAGTTCTATTTCGAAGGTGTAATTTATTTAAAACTTTTGTTGCTCTTCACTCCAAAATTCAAAATATGGATGTCTAGTAGTTTGTTTTTCGACGAAGCCTGCACATTCGCTTAACCAAAAACACTGACGCGCCTCTAATGCGTATTCCGAGTACTAATCGGAATCTGTGACAATATGGCTGCCACGGTTTTTTACAATCGTAATATAGTTTAGTAGTAGTTTAGTTTTTATACTACAGAAAATTAAAAATATAGATTTTTTTTTTCATTTTTTAGAGAAAAAAATATTATAAAGATTATATTTTGTTTTTATTTTACCAAAGAATTTTTTGGTACCTCTTGGACATTTTAAATGGATTTGTTATTATTGTGACCATTTGTGACACAAAAGTGATGTTAACGACTTTATTTTTTAATTTGAAACTGATTTAATATTTTAACATATTGTGAACAAAATATTATTTTTTGTTTGGAAAAAATATTTTTTTCTTTAAAAAATGAAAAAAAAAATCTATATTTTTAATTTTCTGTAGCATAAAAACTAATCTTTTAATTTTTATATTACGATTTTAACAAACCGTGGCAGCCATATTGTCACAAATTTCCGGTTAGTACTCGGAATACGCATTAGAAGGGCGTCAGTGTTTTTGCTTTCAAATTTATATGTGCAGGCTACGTTTTTCGAATAGTAGTACGGTCCCACATTTGAATCGTTGCGGCGAAAGAGTAGCTCTTATTTTTCTCCAAATAATACTGCAACATAAAGTTTTTTATGAATTTTTTTTCGCCGTAACGATTCATTTTTCCTTTGGGCCAAAAATTGGCAGTGTATCTTTTATATGCATAGTATTTGAGTCTTGATTTTTCTCAGCTATTCATATATTATGATGATAATTAAAATTAATGTTCTATAATAGGCAATTTTCTTCTATCTAGTCTTCTATTATACATCAAAATTGGATTTAATTCGGGTTTGGCGCCTACTACTGTGTACAAATTGAAAGGTGACTTTGGTTATAACTTTTAAAATCTTTATTTATTCTTCCAAATCTATTTCATCGCCTTCAAAGTAATCCCCCTCCGATACAATACACCTATGCCAACGTAATTTCCAGTCCTCGAAACATTTTTTAAATTCGAATTCCTGAATGGCCTTCAATACCTTCTTCGATTCGGCTTCTATCTCTTGAATCGAGTCAAAACGGTGTCCCCGGAGTGGTCTTTTAAGCTTGTCAAACAGCCAGAAGTCACACGGTGCTAGATCGGGCGAATACGGTGGTCGAGGAACGATATGGGTCGAGTTTTTGGCGAAATGATCTCGAATAACCAATGCAGTGTGAGTCGGTGGATTATCATGGTGTAAAAACCAAGAGTTGTCTGCCCATAAAACTTGCCTCTTGAGTCGAACTGCTTCACGCAAACGACGCATAACGCCCAAATAATACTCCTTGTTGACAGTTTGACCCGGCGGAAGGAATTCGTAATGCACCACACCACGATGATCGAAGAAAACTGTCAACATGACCTTGATTTTTGACCGACTTTGGCGCGATTTTTTTGGTCTTGGCTCACCTTTTTCACGATATTCGCTCGATTGGTCGGTTGTTTCCGGATCGTAAGCGTAGATCCAAGTCTCATCTCCTGTAATGATGCGTCCCATGACGTGCTGGTAGTCAGAAATCATTGTTTCGCAGATGGAAACGCGACGCTCTTTTTCAAAGAAGTTGAGTGTTTTTGGAACCAATCGAGATTTGACGCGTTTGAGGCACAAAACATCTTTTAAAATGGTGTTGACTGATCCATTTGAAATGCCAACAATATCAGCAATGTCTCTACATGTCAATCGACGATTTTTGAGCACCAAATCTTTGATTATCGTGACGTGTTGTTCATCAGTTGATGTTTTTGGCCGTCAATAACAGTACTACTAACCTAAAAAATAAACATTTGGCAGATTCGACGAGCCCGCGAATTTTATATTTCACATGTCACCTTTCAATTTGTACACAGTAGTATATATCTATTGAAAATATCGAGAGGAGAGTATGTATGAGAGTATTCAGACATTACTCAGCCATAAGCGCTGAATAACATACTCTCTTCTCGATGTATTCAATAGATATAGTATAACCCGAATCTCATCCTATTTCGACGGTAGAATCATGGGAGCGACATAACAAAACTTGGCATGAACGCCAGTCCCTCATAACTGAAAATGGTACAAATTCGCAATAGATGGTGCTTATAAATCGACAAACAAGGTTAGATTTTATTAGAAGAAAAATGAAAAATACTGAAATATTTTTAAAATACTTAATTTAAAGATTTCAATTTGAATAAATTTAAATGATGTGACTTCTAGTGCTTCTTTGATTACAATTGTTTTCAAAGTATTATAGAAAATATCAAATGTGATATTGGTTCTTTCGATATGTCAAAAATGTTGTATTGGTTAATTGTCAAAATGCACAGAATTTTTTTGAGAAGAAATTTGTTAGATTTATAATTTTATAAAATATTTTTGCACTTAATTTATTTTATCATATATGATATCTCAGTGTACCTTTGTGCACATGTTTTATGTTGTCTATCAAGCTATACTGCACATGATACACATATCAGCGTCGAGTATAGTTTAAACTATACGATATACATGATGTGGACTATACTCAACACCGTTGCGTGTGTATCTTGTCGACAGATTTATTAGATAAATTGAGTGCTTTAAAATATTTTATAAAATTATAATTACAACTAATTTCTTCTTGAAAACTTCTGTGCATTTTGAAAAAAAACCAACATTTTTTGACATTTCGAAACAACAAATATCACATTTGATATTTTCTATACTACTTAAAAACCATTGTATTCAGAGAAGCA